GATTTTTCCCTAGCTTTCCCCAGAAGGATTCACAGTTCATTCTTTCACAGAAATGAACGGTTTCATAAACCATATGGCCACAAATGCACTGGAACCTCATCACAGAGCTCGTTCAGAAAAGACTAGCAATCTGGCAAGCCCAGGAAACCGGAGATGCATGACACGGTGTCTCTTGTGGTCATTTCCAGACTGACCCCTCCAGCAACTCTGCAGCTCCAACCTCTTAGGTTCATACCTGCCTTTTTGCCAAATTCTCCTTCCAGCTCGGCCTGTGCCCCAGTCAGGGGGAGGTCCACCATCTCTAGGCACACCACTTCTGCCAGGGACTCCTCACGACTCCACAGCACCACCTTCCCTGCTACAGGAAACATTTTTACAAAGCTAAGCCTGGAGCTGGGCACAGTGGCTCATGCCTGTAATCCCAGCACTCTGGGAGGCCAAGGTGGGCGAATCTCTTGAGCCCAGGAATTTGAGATCAGCCTGGACAACAGGGCAAAACCTTATCTCAACAAAAAATAAATATCAGGGCCAGACAAGGTGGCTCACGCCTATAATCCCAGCACTTTGGGAGGCCAAGGGAGGCAAATCACAAGGTCAGGAGATCAAGACCATCCTGGCTAACATGGTGAAACCCCATCTCTACTAAAAATATAAAAAGTTAGCTGGGCGTGGTGGTGGGCACCTGTAGTCGCACCTACTCAGGAGGCTGAGGTAGGAGAATGGTGTGAACCCAGGAAGTGGAGCTTGTAGTGAGCTGAGATCACACCACTGCACTCCAGCCTGGGCAACAGAGCGAGACTCCATCTCAAAAAATAAATAAATAAATAAATAAATAAAAATAAATATCAAAAAATTAGCCAGGCATGGTGGCAAGCGCCTGTAGTCACAGCTACTTGGGAGGCTGAGGTGGGAAGATCACTTGATCTCGGGAGATTGAGGCTGCAGTGAGGCCATGATCGCACAACTGCACTCCAGACTGGGCAACAGTGAGACCCTGTCTCAAAAAAAAAAAAACTAAGGCTGCCTCCCAGATGTTCTAAAGAGACTCTTCTTGCTGACTCAGGGATTACTACAAGCTCTTGCATAAAAGGAGAAATGGCAGAGCAAGGGGCTGGAATCAATAGGTCAAGGGAGGAAAGTTACGTATCCCACCAAGAAGGCCAAGTTATTCTTCAAAAGCAGGTGACAAAGGCCGGGTGTGGCGGCTCACACCTGTAATCCCAGCACTTTGGGAGGCCAAAGTGGGCAGATCACCTGAGGTTAGGAGCTCGAGATCAGCCTGGACCAACGTGGTGAAACCCTGTCTCTTACTAAAAATACAAAATTAGCCAGGTGTGGTGGCACGCGCCTGTAATCCCAGTTACTCGGGAGACTGAGGCAGAAGAATCACTTGAACCAGGATGCAGAAGTTGCACAGAGCTGAGATTACACCATTCCACTCCAGTCTGGGCAACAAAAGCAAAACTGTCGCAAAAAAGAAAAAAAGAGCCAGGCACGGTGGCTCATGCCTATAATCCAAGCACTTTGGGAGGCCGAGGCAGGTGGATCACCTGAGGTCAGGAGTTTGAGACCAGCCTGACAAACATGGTGCAACCCCATCTCTACTAAAAATACAAAATTAGCGGGGCGTGGTGGTGCATGCCTGTAATCCCAGCTACTTGGGAGGCTCAGGCAGGAGAATCACTTAAACCTGGAAGCCAGAGGTTGCAGTGAGCTGAGATCACGCCACTGTACTCGAGCCTGAGCCACAAGAGCAAAACTCCGTCTCAAAAAAAAAAAGCAGGTGACAGGCCAGGCACGGTGGCTCACACCTGTAATCCCAGCACTTTGGGAGGCTGAGGTAGGCGGATCACTTGAGGTCAGGAATTCGAGACCAGCCTGGCCAACATGGCGAAACCCTGTCTCTACTGAAAATACAAAAATCAACTGGTCGTGGTGGCGCGTGCCTGTAATCCCAGCTACTCGGGAGGCTGAGGCAGGAGAACTGCTTGAATCCGAAAGGTGGAGATTGCAGTGGGCCAAGATCATGCCACTGCACTCCAGCCTGGGCAAGAGAACAAGACTCTATCTCAAATTTTAAAAATTTAAAAAATTTGAAAAAAAAAAGCAGGTGACATTTGGCTGTGAACAAAACGCTCGGGGCACACTCCACTTGAATCTCTTCCAGAAACCTGCAGCCTCCCAAAAAACAGTCTGACTGGAACACATCGGAAGGCCTGGGGAAATAAAAAAATGGGTTGAATGAGGTCTACTTACCCAACTGCTGCAGGAAAAGTAGCAGATGATCCTCCGTCTGCACCAAAGCCCGGTAGCCCACTGAGTCATCCTTCTTCAAGAACACCTGGATATACAGCTATAAGCCACACAGTCAAGACCAGTGTAGTCAGTGAGGATCCAAATGCCTCTGAGAGCACCAGACCCCAGGAGTCAAAGCATTAGGACTTAACAGAGGCCCAAGCCATGGCATTATTTGATATCTAAGCAATGTAGCTATTATCTGGATGCCAGTAAGTGATACATATTCTTAGGCGCCAACACAATGATGCTGGGGTCTCCCAGATCTTTCTATGGAGGAACATGAGTACTGCACGGGTACTACACCATTCATCCATGTTCTAATCACACCCCACAAAGTGAGCAGGAGGCCGGGATTAGACTTTCTGCTTTAGAAACAAAGAAGCCACAGCCCAAGCAGCTGAGGAAAATAACCAAATGTACACAGAGGCAATACTGGGTAGTGATGAGTCCAGGCTGTGGGAGGTTAGACCTGAATCTGAACCCCAGCAACACCTCTTCCTGGCTCCGTGACTCTGGCCGTGGTGCTCGATCCCAGCAGGCCTCAGAATCATTTTAAAACCAGGTCAGGAACAATCGCTTCACGGGAGTGTTCGGAGGATTAAATTAATTAATGTGTAAGTTAAAAGCTTAGAACAGTGCCTGGTACACAATGACGAGCTGGCATAAATAATACCCGCCTTTACTGTGATTTCCAACAAGTCAGTGGCTCAGAGAGCATTAGAACACACGTTCAGAGAGCCTAATCCAAGCCCCATGGCTAAGACCTGGCCCTGAGGAAAGGAGGGCACGTGCTGAGAAGCCCACAGGACAGTCTGCACAGAAAGGCTCTGCCTCACCCGCTCAGGCCGAGTGCCGCTCTGTTCCAGGCTAAATGTAATTGTGGTGTCCAGCAGCCGCCGACCTGTCTCCACGAGATACAGGTTAATGGTGTAGGTCTGATTGAAGCAAGCCAGAGAGTCCTAGGGGTACAGACAGCACGGGTCAACTACAGGCATCCCCCGAAAGCAAAGCCCACCAAAGGAAGTCCAAGGATTGGGGGCAAATACCCTAGAGAAGGAGCCAGGCCAGAAGGGGAAGTATATGCAAAGGAAAATAAAAGAGAAAAGCAAGCCAAATCCTAAGGCAGAAATAAGATGCCTGAGTAAATAAATGAAATTACAACTACCATACTTGTCTTGGAAGCCAGTACAGAGTAGCAGACTTCTGAAAGAGAGGTACGGCTGAGCAAAGTAAGACTGAGCAAGACAGGAGGCAGGGAAACGCTTAGATGGAAGCCACAGCAGGAACCTATGCCTCCAGCCAGGGGCTGACGCCTCCGCTTCAGGGTAACTGCACAGATTACTACTCAACTGTGCCAGCCGGGATCCCCAAAAAAATGGAGACGCTGAGGCCCAGAGGAGAAAGTGGCTAGGAACAGACTCTAGGCATTTTACCTCCTAATCTCCCAGTAAAATGAGATTAAGAGAAACATCATTTAATTTACAGTACTTAGGAAACCCCATTTGAAGCTGGGAACTCTAAGACCTGCTCCTAACCAAAGCTGTGCCCCCAACTCTCTTTGGTGGCCTCCTGCGTCTCTCAGTCTGGCATACTGCCCAATGCCACACCCTACCTTTGAACTAGACTTCTCCGGAAAGCTCCCCATTGACCCATCTTCAGAATTGCTAGGTTTCTGCTATGAGAAAGAGAAGGACAGGAGAAAATTCAGCCAAAGGGTCACTTCCCAGTCACTGAAATGAAGCTTTTGTTTTTGTCTTCTTAGCACTTGGGAGAAGGCAAAGCCCATTTCTCACCCCTGCCCACAAAGCCTATTCGACTCTTAATAGTCCCATATGAAAGTAAGGTCATCACATTAGGGTCTCGTTCCTGGGGAGAAATGGGGTGTACAGAAAGCTCTATAGGTGAGGCAAGACCTCACTTCTCAACAGCCTCCTGCCCCCTGGGTTCAAACTGACCAGGCCAATGTGCCCAGACTTCTGATTTTCAGGGTTCCTGGCAGAGACCAGGAAGGAAAACCCCAAGTGCTGACTGTTGTTCTCAATACTCACCACTTCATTCCGACAGGCCATGACTGCAGCCACCGTCTTCTCCCCAGTGGTGGCAAAGCTCACTAGGGCAGTCTGGGGGAAAAGCAAGGCATCAGCTCCTAAATGGGACCAGTACTAGCCAGCTGCCTTACAGAGGGTCACCTCTCCAGGGAAGGCCCTTGGCCTTAGAGTTGAAAGTGCTCCCCACTTTGGAGCAGAATGGTCAGGCATTTAAGAGCAGAGCGAGGCCCCAGTTGCATCTACAGCTGAAAACACAACTCTCCCCTACCTCCAACGCAGGCACACGTCAATCTTAAGTCCCATGCTGCTTGCTCTTACTATCTACGGGGAAGCTCTCATTTATGTCCCCATATTTCCTTTGGACTAAGGAAGGCACTGGTTTTGCTCTAAAGATCCTTTGTAATTCTCAGGAGGAAATATACCATTTCCACTGCAAGGCTACCTATCCCCTCTCAAACCATTTAAGGGAAGGTGTCATCAGTCTTGGGCCTAAGAGCAAATGTTTCCAGATTCAAAAGTACTGCCTTCTAACATCCATGTCTTGGAGAGATCTCCTGAATCCTAGCAAACCATGTTGCCTGCAGTTACCTGTGGGAAGTTTTTAAGCAAACTCAGGGTGCCGTAATGGTACTGCAGCAGAGCATAGTGGCTTGGGGACAAGTGCAGGAAGAACTGGGCCCGGGAAGCGTCCACTGGGTTGGGCTGGGTGGGCAGGACCCGGGGTTGGAATCCACTTCCAAATTCTAAGTCGAGAGACTGGAAGGCAAGGAGGAGGATTACAAATGACAGCTGACGAGTCCCTGACCCATCCAAGGCTCATACCCTCTGCCCTACTTTACCAGGGGAAGTAACTGGGCCACGGCAGGTGGCTCCAAATGCTCCAGTTCAAATTCCCCAAAGGGGAAAGTGGCCGATTTCCCCTTATGCCAGTTCAGCCAGAGGCCTGAATGGCTTCCACTGCTCAGGAAGAGTCTGGGAGAAAGACCCTCTGGGGGAATCACGCCAAACTTTCTACTCCCCGCAGGAAATGCCTCAGGCCAGAAGCAGCAGTGGCAGCCTCTCACCTGCAGCGGGATCTGTCTCAGCTCCCATTCCGTCTCCAGAGCCAAAGTTTGGAGGGAACGTGAGCTCGGGTCAGGACACACCAGGACAGCCTCATCCACCACGCCA